ATATAGTATATTGTTTTGGTAGTATACTAAACCACAAAAGTAGACTTCACATGAAGTCTACGGGTTGGATTTCTTGCGGAAGTCTTCTGGTAAACTTGTATATTACGTAGCAGACTTCGCTAGGGTTAAAACAGTTATTAAAACCTCCATTTTTTTGTTTTGTCATAAAGGATGTAGTTGTAATTTCACTATCCTTTTAAGTTAATTTTGCAAAACATGAGATATGTGGGTTAGTCTTGTATATAAAATCGGTCATTTTTAACAACTTTTCCTAAATCGGTTGATGCAACACTGGAGTTGTGAAAATAAAAACTCGATTGATGTAACTATAATATTATCTTTTGGATGATCGATTTGTCTGACCTCTCCGTATGATTATTGGCCGCTGTTGCACGTGCACAGTTGAATCACATATCACGTGCAACGAGTATCTGTCGTGTTTGTTACGTTATTATTAAAACAACGAGTAAACATTTTATCTAATCCATATCCAATACAATTTATATGCGGTAAATTATCTAAATAATTGCTTATTTATATAAATTCACCTCGAAAATGACTTCAAAAATGTTTTGTGGACTGTGGAGTATATAAAATATTTAAACAGATTAAAACACATTTACAACTAGAATAAACCTAATTCCCAGAAGCCGTATATATATTATGCCGACAATCAACAAATGTCTAATATAAAACAACGTCAAATTCGCATCTAAATGTAAAGTCGAAGGGCTAAAAGTCAACCCCACCAAGTCATAAAATAAAACAGAGCTCACGCCATCTACTTTTATGTTTTTACTTATTTATAGCTAATTGATTTTTTTAATATATCAGTTGGAAATTTTAAAAATCATTTTATTTCGGTAGCGTAAAAGAAACAGATCATTCTCTTTGAAAAAATTACAGTGTATACTTTTTCAAAAAAAAAATTACAGTTTATTTAAACCAAGTTGTTTCTATGTGTGTAATGGAGGGCAGGTCCACAGCTATTTCGTCCTGTATTTCTTAGTATTTTCATTTTCAGTTTGTATAGTTGATAAATGTTTTCTTTTATTAATGTTTTTGACCTACCAACAATAAATATTGTATTTAATTGCATATTCTATTATCATATTCACAATTTGTTTTGTGTATATATATATAGAGGCAGATAATCCAAAACATATGCATATTATTAATTCCTTGAAACAATACCAAAACCTCAAATCCAACCCAAACAAAAAAAAACCAAATCTTTTCTTTTGTCCTAATGGTGAGAAATTCAATGAAACCCGAGTACGATCTTGATTATCTTCCTAATCAAACCTTTTATGGAGATTATTCAAAATCTATTCCCATGAACAAAAACTCCCAAATCATAACCAAGATCAAGCCTAAGATCCGTATCATCCATATATTTGCACCGGAGATCATCAACACCGACGTCAAAAACTTCCGTCCACTCGTCCAAAGCCTGACCGGAAAACCCGAGAAGAAAAAGACAACCAAAACAAAATTTCCCGCGCCACCGCCTTTGCCTCAAGAATCCGGCCAAGAACAGAGGGCGGAGTTGGTCAACGGGAGCCATACGGTGAAGGAGGAAGAATGGGGATCATGTTCGAACCCAAACACTTACTTTGATTTTGAGGGTTTGATTGATCTTGATGATGACGACAACATGTTCTCAAGTCGATGGTTTGATATTCAACAACAATGATTAACTCGGTCCCACCTTGCCCTAATCTCTAGGGTTTCTATTAACCGATGAATCCTATTGGTTCTAATGATTAATCATTCGTTCGATGTTGAGACGAAGATCATC